TAGAGCCATGCTGCAGCTATATTAATAGTATAGTTGTAGCACGAATGGGTCGACTCGACCGGGGAAGGACCACGCTCTCACAGAATACCAGCGTAAAATAGCAGCTTAACGCTGCTGTGTTTCGTGTGGTGAGTGTAGAGAACCGGAGACCCTTTTTACTGGAAACGAGGCATTCCATCTTAGTCCTCACGGGTGACAACGCATCTGCATTTTGATTCGTAATCGAAGATAGATATAGATGTCTATGGGCCGCAGCAACCACTTACAATCAGGTGGACTGTGTGCTCGATTGTCACCCTTATCCTATTAAAAAAAAACTATGAGAAAGCGTACATACGATTGTTTTTGTATGCGCAGATTTACCCCCCGCAAAAATATACTAAGAGGAAAAACGCTAAGCTAGGCATCTGTCACTCTTGCTACCTGCGAGATGTAAATGAAACCTAAGGTTCGCAGGTTGTATACATTACACAGTCAGGGCTAGCACATTTTAGGCAAGCGACGTACTAGTGAATTTCAGTTTTTTTTAAACTGTCATGTAAATAGATTTCTTGTAAATACTTGTTGAAATATTTTTGGTTTATTGTTTGGTAAATTTACATAAAGGATAAAATAGTTATATAACTTTTAGTGTAATTGTAATGTATATTTTCATGTATATTATATTAAATACATTCATTAACAATTTTGAAAACAATAATAAAAAAACATAATAATGAAAAAAACGAAAATAATGTTAAAGTTTAATTTAGCTTGCGTGCGTGATTTATCTAATTAACTAGCTGTTCCCCGCGACTTCTTTCGCATGTAATTTAGGGTTTTAATTTTTTTTTTTGCGAGAAACAAATTATTTTTCAAAAAGTACAAAGTCTAAATTACTCCTTATGACATCAGCTATCTGCCAGTGAAAGTCCCGTCAAAATCGGTCCAGCCGTTTCGGAGATTAGCCGGAACAAACAGACAGACAGACAGACAAAAAATTTTAAATTTGTGTATTTTTGTTATAAGAACCGTTTATACTTTTATATGCATTTAGTAAAACGCTGTAATTTTGACGTTACAAACAGACACTACAATTTTATTTATTTGTATAGATAAAAACTTCGGCAAGCAGTCAACATCAAAGAAGTTCATCTTCTGTACGTAGCACTATTATATATTATGTGGCTATGCTTGCTTCCTTCGGTCCGCCGGTGGCGTAGACAAAGAAAACTACAGACTGCTAGATAGCTTCCTTCTTTCCCTCAAGAAAGAGAAGTGAATAGACATAACGTATTAGAAGAAAAAGGACAGAGCATGGCTATCTGCATCTCTCACCGCGTGCCGGTTTTTTCAAACAAAGATTTAGCTAAACAAGTTTGGCATGGCATTCATAGTATTAATCGGCGTTAATTTGTGTTAATCAAGGAGTTATAGGCAAAACCTCATTGTTCACAATCGTGCGGTGCAACATTCTTGATTAGAATAGAATAGAATAGATAAAATAATTTTTTATTCAATATCGATTATTACATAATTCTTATTGAAAGTAATTTTTTATTTACCACTGGTTCGGAAAATACCTCTGTCCTGGGAAGAACCAGCAAGAAACCCAGCGGGACTTTTTTTTCAAACATAATTTCGTTTATACAATTTTTAAATAATTTTTCATAGAACCAGCATGGTGGCGATCACCTTATTCCCAGGGGTTCTTTTCATTCATGTATTCCTTGATATTATAATAACCCTTATTATACAGTTTTTCTTTAATAAAACTTTTAAACTTGTTTATTTATAAACTTTGAATATGTCCTGGGATTTTGTTGTAAAAGCGTATACATTGCCCCATAAATGAATTACTGATTCTGTGGAGTCTAGTAACTGATTGTAAAAGTGATGGTGAACCAAAAGTTTTGGGATTGTCATTTCATTCGTAAGTTTCCCTTTTTTCTGCAGACTTTCAAAAAGGAGACGTTACTCAATTCGACTGTATGTTTTTTTTACGTGTGTTACCTCATAACTTTTTACTGGATGAACCGATTTCGATGATTCTTTTTTTATTTGAAAGCTGGTACTTCTCGTGTGGTCCCATATGAAACATTACCCATATTCATCAAGGTCAGACCAATGGTTTTTGAGTTATTCTTAATAATTTATATTAAAGTCGGCTATACAAAATTTTTAATTTTAAATTATTGTTATCTCAGCTCGTAAAATGTATCATTTTATCCTGGTATGAATTAAAATGTATTATTTAAACTGGTTTTTTATTAAACATTAGGATTCATATGGATTTATAGGAGTTCATGTTAAAAATTACATTGCATAATCTATTTTCTGTGTTGTTTCGTATATAATTTCTCTAATTTTCCTGTCAGCATTTGATAGAAAGAACTAATAAAATTATTTCAACGAACTTTTTATTTTGATGCATTACAAATAGATTATAAATTAGGCAGGCAAAAGGCATATCAGGTAATTAATTATAATATAATACAATTTTTTTATAAAAAATATTGTACACCTATTTTTATATAATTTGTTGACACGGTTGGCGCAGTGGTTGAGCAATCTCTTGCTGCGTGTCGCGAGTTCGTTTTCCGCACGGAACAAATATTTGTAAGGCCTACAGATAATTGTGCCGGGTCTGGTTATTTGTGTATGTAGGTTTGTAAAAGCACCCACAATACAGGATAAATTCATAGTGTGGGGCATCTGTTTAAAAAAATATGTATACGACTATTCGCTATAAGAACTATTTGCGACATATCTAATAAATAGTTTTGCTTATACTATCGCATTTTTAGTGTCGTAGAAATTTAACTTAAATGCTCAATTTACTTTCTACTTTCTTCTTCTTTTATTTTGCCGTTTGTCACACAGATAGATACTCGTAGAAAAAAAAAATGGATAAGGTTAACCCATAGACTGCAGATCTGTACGTTTCAGTAAAATGTTTATGATAAATATATATATATATATATATATACTAATACATAAACATATATATATATATATACAATCATTGTATGTATATATATACATACATATATACATACCGAAATATAGACAAATACATAGGCTGCACTAAAAGTATCGGGAATGGAATATTTCCACTGTTCCCGTCATATAAATTTTTTTTTTTAATTGAAAAGTCCTTGGTTTTAAAAATCAAATATCATTTATTTATTTAAAAAAAGATTCTCGGTCTTGTCACAAGGTTTTGTCAAACTTGTTTAGTCGTTGAGAAAATGGAATTGACTCGAGAAAATTCAAGAGCGATGATTTATTATGACTTTCGAAGTGGTTTAACACAAAAACAGTGTGTTGACCGGATGATTTCTGCATTTGGTGATGAAGCCCCATCCAAAACCACAATTTATCGCTGGTTTGCTGAATTTCAACGTGGACGTGTCAAGCTCAGTGATGATCCCCGTCAAGGTCGTCCAAAAACTGCAGTCACCCAAGAAAACGTTGATGCTGTGCGTAAGCTGATTGAGGAAGATCGACATGTGACATACCGCGAAATTCAGGCAACTTTAGACATTGGCATGAGTCAAATACAAATAATCTTGCATGAACAATTAGGTGTAAAAAAGTTGTTTTCCCGATGGATACCGCATTCGCTCTGTGAAGAGCAAAAAGCGGCTCGCGGTACTTGGTGCGTCAGGACTCTCGAAAGATTTCACGCAGGATCCTCAAATGCTGTATACAACATCGTATCAGATGACGAATCCTGGATATACGCGTACGAACCCGAAACAAAAAACCAGTCACGAGTTTGAGTGTTCGAAAATGAGTTAAAGCCAACAAAAATTGTTCGTCCAAAGAGTGTTGCAAAAAAAAATGGTGGCCACGTTTGTCTCCAAAACCGGCCATGTTACGACTATTAGTCTTGAGGGACAAAGAACGGTTAATGCAGAATGGTATGCTAGCATTTGTTTGCCACAGGTCGTTTCTGAACTCCGTAAAGAGAACTGCAACCGCCGCATCATCCTCCATCACGACAATGCGAATTTTCACACCGCACACAGAACAAAAGAGTTTTTAGAGCAAGAAAACATAGAATTATTAGACCATCCGCCGTACAGCTCCGACCTAAGCCCTAATGATTTCTATACTTTCCCTAAAATAAAGTATAAATTGGACAGAGATTTTCATCACCTGAAGAAGCTGTGGACGCCTACAAAACGGCCATTTTGGAGACCCCAACTTCCGAATGGAATGGTTGCTTCAATGATTGGTTCCATCTTTGGCCATGGCTTTAGTTAGTATACTGTCAGCATTCGTCCTGTGCGCTTATGTGTTGAAAAAATCGCAAATCGGTGTATTTTCGTAATATTAAGAAGAAAAGGATGAAGTGTTGTGTTTTATCGTGAAAAACTATTCAGATAGACGCTCCGATATTATGGATGGCATCACATTTCATTTGTAAGTAATTTTACACCTAATTTATTAAAATAGTTCTAGAAAAATCTCTTTGCGTCGGCTTTCAAAAATAATTAAATATATTCGACACTAGATGGCGACACTTTGTGTTATGTGAACTAAAAATATAGTTACGTAGAGCTCAGTAACGATAAAATAATCATACGAAGGTGCTGAAATTTGTTTTTCATTCAGACATTAAGAAATTTTAATCGCCAAAATATTATTTATATAGTTTATAACGTTTTGTGGACAGGCCGCCATCTATCGTCAAGATAGCTAAACTACATTGCAACATCGATATGGAACGATTCGAGTAGTTTTACTATTAATCGGTAGATGTAGATAGTGTATAGTGGGCGGCGCTTTGCATCCCCTCACCTCGCAAATTGTCACGCGTTGTTACATAGTGAAATTTAATTACATCGTCTCCTCTTTGTATTTGCTTCATGGTCTATACGCAAACGCCAGTATATTCTATCTCACCACATGAGTAAAGAAACCATACAGAGGCAAAGCTTCTAAGGAGCTGTCAATTTTTTTTTACCTATTTTCGTAGGGTTGGCACAAGATGATAAGATTAAATAAACAAAACGTTTATCAGCTTTTATTGTAAACTTAAGACACAATATTTTTTATAATCTACTTATTCTAAATGTTACGACAGCCAGTTGCTAGGGACGGGCAAATGAAAAAAATATATCGATATTTATCAATATATTTTTTTTACTTGTTCATGCTACATCGATGCCATTTCAATTCTTAATTTCTTTGGAGTTCAGAGTTTGGAGAGACTTCATAGTCAAGTTCGGTTCTTGTAATATCGTGTAGATTTTTGAGTCGTTCTTGTATCTATAAAAAGGGCTATTTCAATGATTAGGTGGCATTAATTTAGACTAGCAGTATCGACAAAATTATGTGCAACATCCCTTTATTTACATACCTTTTTGTAACTCTTTATCTTCCAAGATACTTTCGCTTAGTAATCTTTTGATACCGCGTTGCTTTGTTGACTGTCGCCTTGATGAAGAAGACGTTGTGCCCATACTTTCAGTAGCTGAAGAGGTAGACATTGCTGAAAAAATAAAAACTTAATAATATTAAATTAGAACCCTAACATTACAAATAACACATATTATATGGATAAGTAAAGACAGGTGGTTGCGGATCTACTACATCCATTTTCTCCCCTCTGGACTCATTTTCACTGTCAGCTATTTCAAACTCATCGCAAGCATTTGAGTCAGGAAATAGTGTTTATATTGTTACATTGTTTTTAAAAAATGTTAACCCCACACTAGGATTTTCTCCTGTATCTTGGAGGAACTTTACAAACATAAATTGCACAAGGACAAACATCCAGACCCGGAACAATTATTTGTAGGCCATACAAATACTTGTTCCGTGCGGGGTTCGAACCTGTGGCCACCAGCGCTGGAACTCATTGCTAAGCCACTGCGCCACGGAGCCGTCACTTGTCTGTTTCACATTTTTTGCTCTTTATAAATATGCGACACGCGAGGGCATTATTCATGAAAGAATGGCAATGAGAAGTGCTACTATTTTCAATCTCTTTCTTTTATCGACCAATTGTTAAACTAAAAAACTTACCAAGTGTTAAACTAAAGATATTGCATTAGTAGGCAGTCACTAGTACTGGGAGGTCTACTTACACTAAACGATTTTTAAGGTCATTGGCATTACACGCGAAAAAATCGAAATATGCGAAGCTGTGGTCGTGTCGCTAATCAAATAATAAACCTATAACTATGGCATCAGTAACTAAGTACCTAATTATCTAGATCTACCTGTAAATAATAATATATTACCTTTCGGTATCCTTAGGAACAGTAAAGAATGAATAGTCGACATTCCTATTGTTATTTAAGCACCCGCATGCTATGCAGTACCTTTTGGCTTTTTAAGAGGTCATACTTGAATAAAAACTCAAAAATAAATATCAAAAGTGGCGTAAGGTGCGCGTCAGTCGAGCACGCGCGTGCCAACCGCAAGGAATTAGCCGCTTGTAGGGGACCACGCAGCGTAGGTATATTTTCATGCCTAAAGCGCGAAGTGAGACAGGCCTGATCAAACTTAAACTTACTTTCAAATATTCCTTCAAACATTGTTGGAACACCAACCAAGTTCACTGTTGTTCTATTGTAATGCTTAATAAAATATTTAGCATCGAAATTTTTAGAACAAAGACAATCTACTTCCTTGGTGTCCAGTCAATGACTTTCATATTCTAAAGCCATACATTCCTGGCCAACAAGTCAGTTGGAAATCTGAAAAATAAAATTATCGGTATGATCTCTTTGACATATCAATTCGGCCAAAAATCTATAATGTCGTTTTAAGATAGTATTGCAATACAAATTTCTGATTACAATCTTATGCTTTACATGTCATTGCACACCAATTTTGATTAAAAAAAACAATAACTAAATGCACATACCTCATTTATTTTTGATAAAATTGTTTATACGAATGCGAATACACTACATAATTAAATTTTACAGTCGAAAACTGAAAACATCTATAAAAAGAAAGTGTCACGAAAATATTTGGCAGTACTTGTAAATTTGTTTTTTTCTTGTAGTAATAAAAAATGGTCTTGTTCAATAAATGTTTTTAGCTTAAAAGTATGCACATAATGTTAATAAATGATAATGAGTATTATAATATCCAAAATTATTTTACATTTTCGTGACAACGCCTAGCATACAAGCTGGTCGCGTAAATACCTACGCAGGCGTAGGCATCGCCTGACATCAAAGGCGTTTCACAACTGTTAAGTCTCTAAGCTGTGCTTGTAGCAATGTTTGCTAAATACACATTTCCTCATGTTTGAAAGTTCGAACCGACACAAATGACCTTAAAAACTCACAAAAACATCAACAAATTGAAATAAAATGCATAAACGCTTCACGGTTGTTCAATTTACCACGACAGCCATTTGCAATAAGTTCGAAATTAGTTCTCGGGACACTCGCATAGCGTCGCAAATTAGCACAGGAGTGTGGTAATAATATATACAGGTCAGTGTTCTTCAGGGACTTTATTCCGTTTATTTAAGTTATTAATAACGTTTTTGAGGTTGGCTACTTTAGTTTTCAATCTTTTAACATGTTGGGTCAAAACTTTTATCCGTGCATTTCTAATTTTTAACGATCGCTTGGCACGTTGTATAACTATCTTTGAGGACCTGGGAGTATTTTCATACTGATGGTCATGCGCTACGCCATATTTAATTATTGATTTCTTTGGAGTTCGAGAGGCTACATAGCCATGTCCGTTTCTGGTGATATCGTGTAGATTGCTTTTTGATTCGTATGTAGTACTTGCACCTAAAAAAGGGTTATTTCAATGAATAGGTGATATTAATTTAGACTAGTAGTATCGACTAATTTATGTGCCATATCCGTTTACTTATATACCTTTTTGTAACCCTTTATCTTCCAAGATACTTTCGCTTGGTAATCTTTTGGCCCCGCTTTGCTTTGGCGACTGTATCCTTGAAAAGGGCCTTGTGCTTATACTTTCAGTAGTTAAAGAGGTAGAAATTGCTGAAAACATAAAAATTTGTACAATATTAAATTAGAACCCTAACATTACAAAAGACTACATATTATATGGACTAACCATATTTGTATGGATAAGTAAAGACAGGTGGTTTCGGTTCTACTACATCTATTTTTTCCTCTCTGGACTCATTTTTACTGTCAGCTATTTTAAGCTCATCGCATGAATTGGAGTCTGGAAATGATAATACAATTAAAGTTTATCTATACTTAATAATATTAAAACATATATACATAACTAGCTGTGCCCCACGGTTTCACTCGCGTATATCACGTGTCTGATCCGCGCGACATGAATCTCACAGAATACCAGCGGAAAATAGCAGCTTCATGCTGGTGTGTTTCGTATGATGAGTGTAGAGAACCGGCGACCCTTTTCACTGGAAACGAGGCATTCCATCTTACTCCTCACGACTGACAACGATCTGCATTTTGATTTGCAAACGAGGATAGATGTAGATGTCTATGGGCCACAGCAACCTCTTACCATCAGGTGGACTGTGTGCCCGCTTCTCACCCCTATCCTATAAAAAACTCACCCTCCCCGTTTCCGGGTGATCCCCTCAGCACCCCAGAAAGAGACCCGAAGAGCTATTTTTTTTCAGATTTAAAAAACCATACACGAAACATAAACAGTGGTGTGGGAACAAAATCATCCTTGATGAATATGCTATCATCTTTTATACTTATTAATCAATTAAATTTTCAAAATAGTATAGCAACGTGAAATGAAAGAGTTTAAAAATAAATTATACCTCTTTTTAAGGAACATATTCTATTCTTTACTCTAATTACAGTAGGGCCTCGATATCCAAAAACCCAAACTTTACACCCTGTTTGGATTAAGCTGAACGCACATTTGTCCGCGCCGTACGTTCATATGATTTCCGCGCGTAAGGCGCGGGAAATCATATAAAACCTCGCACATTACACCCGCACCGTACGCGCCGATTTTATAAAATGCGGTAGGTATCCGAATATTGAAGGACGCATGCTGATGACGTCATATAACATTCGGCGCGTGCTGATACTCAGTGTTGTCCAACGTTGCAAACTTTGTGGATTTTCCTCTATAACTGGTGGTTTCGACTTACGTGATAATTTTTGTATTTTGATAACTTTTAATTTGTTCGTAATTTATTATACATAATTTTTTGCATCGATTGTCAATATGAATACTTAGTGATTTATATATATATATATATATATATATATATTAATATTATGAATCCAGAATCTTCTTTTTCTTCGAATTTTATTTTCTTCTACCTCTACCAATAAGCAGGCTATTACTATATTTTTTTCCATAGTGATTTCGAGCGATCAATTTCACTGTACCGTTTCGCACCAGTGGTTGGAAAAAACTGCAAAAGTTATTGGCAATACAAAAGTTTTGCGCACGGCGCGGACGATGCGTACGTGTAAATGTGCGAACTCGGCGCGTACAGCGCGAGCAAATGTGCGTTCAGCTTTAATGAGGCGTTCGGAATGGATGTAGTGAAGAAAATAGAAAAGGTGTTTTTGAAATGAAACATGGATTTTTGTAATTGAAAGTGAATACAAAAACATAAAAAAGAAACATAAAAATTTGAACAATATTAAATTAGAACCCTAACATTACAAACTACTGCATATAATCTGGACTAACCATATTTGTATGGATAAGTAAAGACAGCTGGTTTCTGTTCTACTACATCCATTTTTTCCCCTATGGACTCATTTTCACAGTCAGCTATTTTAAGCGCATTGCAAGAATTGATGTCTAGAAATGATAATATAAGTTTGTCCATACTTAATAATATGAAAACCTATATACAAAACTAGCTGTGCCCGGCGGTTTCACCCGCGTATATCACGATGTCTAAGCCGCGCGACATAACATGACACTTAGTTCCAGCATTTTCGGTAGCCTTGTAGTCGCGGTTAAAAATATCTACTACCCCATAGCTTCCCGTGGGTGTCGTAAGAGGCGACAATGGAAAACAGGCAGGAGATGGCCAGCACCATCTTCCTGATAACAGCAATAGTACAATAAAAAAACTGCAGCTGCCAAGCCGCTCGCCAAGCGCGGCAACTATGACAAACATCAGAAAGTTACGAAGAGACGGCCCCCAGTCCTAGGCGGCCCTGCTATTCCTGGCTACGGTGACGATCATGGTAACGGCTGGGCACGGGGTGCTAAAAATCTCTGGTGGAGGTTCGGTTACCACCTCAAACTACTCGATCTGACAATATACAACGCACGCACCCTGAGGACTGACGAGAAGATCCTGGAGCTGGAAGAAAAGATAAACAAGTTGCGCTAGGATATTACAGGATAATCTGAGGTCCGAAGAGGGAGAGTACACGGTAATCCTCGAATCCAGCAACTTGTTCTATCATCGGGATGGCGACCATCTGTCCCAAGGAGGTGTTGGATTTGTCGTCCACAAGTCTCTCGTTAACAACGTTGTAAAGATTGAGTGTGTCGACGAGGGTTGCGTACCTTATACTCAGAATCACCAAACGGTATTCGTTGAAGGTCATACAGGTTTACGCACTAACCTCGGCACATCCCGATGAGGAGATGGAAGAAATGTATGAGGATATCTCTAAAGCCATGCATTCCTCCAAAACTCACTATACGTAGTTAATGGGATACTTCAACGGAAAAGTAGGCACAAGAGAGAATGGTGAACTGAAGGTACGGAAATTCTGAATAGAATAAGGACTCTGGAAATTCGGAATAGAATAAAGACTAAGAATAGAAAAGGGGCTCTTTATGATGAACTCTTTCTTCCAAAAGCGGCCTCATAGGAAATGAACGTGGTCAAGCCCCGACGGTTCGACAAAAAATGAGATTGACTTCATTATGACGACTAGACGCCAACTGTTAAGTGAAGTCTCACTGATCGCGAGGGTGAAAACTGGTAGCGATCACCGAATGGTTAGAGGCACGCTGAACCTAAACGTTAAGTTGGAGAGGTCGCGTCTAATGATGTCAACGCTCCGTCCCCCTCGTGCTTTAATCCAAAGTCCCCAAACCTTTCAGCTCCAGTTCCAAAACAGTTTTCAGTGCAATTGCAGTGGACGAAATGAATAACCGTGTACTAACCGTGTAGTGGCGGTTAAGAATAACCACTACCCCATATCTTCCCGTGGGTGTCGTAAAAGGCGACAAAGGGAAACAGGCAGGAGATGGGCAGCAGCATCTTCCTGATAATAGCCAAAATAACAATAAAAAAAAACTGCGGTTGCCAACCCGCTCGCCAGGCGTGGCAACTATGGCAATATACCCCCCATGAGCAATGACAATAATAAACGGCCCCCAGTCCCCGGCGGCCCCGCTATTCCTGGCTACGGTGGCGACCATGGTAACGGCGGGGCAGGGGGTGCTAAGAATCTCCGGTGGAGGTTCGGTTGCCACCTACGACGACTCGACCTGGCAACATACAACGCACGCAGCCTGAGGACTGACGAGAAGATTGTGGAGCTGGAAGAAGAGATAGACAAGTTACGCTGGCATATTATAGGATTATCCGAAGTCCGAAGAGAGGGGGAGGACACGGTAATCCTCGAATCCGGCAACTTGCTCTATTACTGGGAGGGCGACCATCTGTCCCAAGGAGGTGTCGGATTTATCGTCCACAAGTCTCTCGTTAACAACGTTGTAAAGATTGAGAGTGTGTCGACGAGGGTTGCGTACCTTATACTCAGAATCACCAAACGGTATTCGCTGAAGATCATACAGGTTTACGCACCAACCTCGGCACACCCCGATCAGGAGGTGGAGGAAATGTATGAGGATATCTCTAGAGCCATGCATTCCTCCAAAACCCAATATACGGTGTTAATGGGAGACTTCAATGCAAAACTAGGCACAAGAGAGAACGGTGAGCTGAAAGTAGGGAAATTTGGAATAGGGCAACGGAACCCAAGGGGCCAGCAGTTGGCTGACTTCATGGAGAAAGAGGGACTCTTTATGATGAACTCTTTCTTCCAGAAGCGACCCCACAGGAAGTGGACCTGGTCGTGCCCCGACGGTTCGACAAAAAATGAGATTGACTTCATTATGACGACAACTGTTCAGTGATGTCTCAGTGATCGCGAGGGTGAAAACCGGCAGCGATCACCGATTAGTTAGAGGCACACTGAACCTAAAGCAACATTTACCGTGAAAGGTTCTATATATATATATATATATTAATATTATGAATCCAGAATCTTCTTTTTCTTCGAATTTTATTTTCTTCTACCTCTACCAATAAGCAGGCTATTACTATATTTTTTTCCATAGTGATTTCGAGCGATCAATTTCACTGTACCGTTTCGCACCAGTGGTTGGAAAAAACTGCAAAAGTTATTGGCAATACAAAAGTTTTGCGCACGGCGCGGACGATGCGTACGTGTAAATGTGCGAACTCGGCGCGTACAGCGCGACCAAATGTGCGTTCAGCTTTAATGAGGCGTTCGGAATGGATGTAGTGAAGAAAATAGAAAAGGTGTTTTTGAAATGAAACATGGATTTTTGTAATTGAAAGTGAATACAAAAACATAAAAAAGAAACATAAAAATTTGAACAATATTAAATTAGAACCCTAACATTACAAACTACTGCATATAATCTGGACTAACCATATTTGTATGGATAAGTAAAGACAGCTGGCACGGTTAAGTTGGAGAGGTCTCGTCTAATGAAGTCAACGCTCCGTCCCCCTCGTGCTCTAATCCAAAGTCCCGAAACCTTTCAGCTCGAGTTACAAAACCGTTTTCAGTGCCTAGAAGACTGCAATGAAGTGGACGATTTGAATGACAAGCTCGTGGAAACTGTCCATGCGGTCGGAGCTAAGTTCTGCAAGACCCGCCGCAGAAGAACACAAAAACTCTCCGATCACACTCTTAATCTCATGGCTGTTAGACGGGAGATGAAGCTACATTCTTCAACAGATTTGACAGCATACAGGCAACTGAACAGACAGATCTCCAAATGCATGCGGCGGGACTTACGCAACTTCAATACAGCTCGTATTGAAGAAGCGATCGAGCGGAACCAAGGCTCCAAAGTCTTTGCCAGAGATCTGTCTGCCAGAAAGCGCCAACTGTCAAAGCTGAAGACAGAATGTGGCAGCATCGTTTCCGGGGCACCTGAGATTTTGAGTGAGATTGAGAGGTTCTATGGGCAGCTGTACACGTCATCGTTGGAGCCGCACGCAAGTGTGAGTAACGATCCAAGAGCGAGTCTTATCCGACATTATTCCGATGAAATCCCGGACGTCAGTCTGAGCGAGATTAGAATGGCTCTCCAGCACCTTAAAAACGGCAAGGCCCCAGGCGAGGATGGAATTACAGCGGAGCTTCTGAAAGCGGGTGGAAAACCGGTACTTGAAGTCCTTCAGAAGCTCTTTAATTCCGTCCTCCATGGTGGCATTACACCGGAGGCGTGGAGCAGAAGTGCGGTGGTCTTGTTCTTCAAGAAATGCGACAACGCTTTCTTGAAGAACTACAGACCGATTTCCCTTCTGCGCCGCGTCGACGTGCTGTTTTCGAGAGCCATTACGAATCGTCTCGCACGCAGACTCGACGACTTCCAGCCTCCCGAACAAGCCGGTTTCCGAAAAGGCTTTAGTACCATAGACCACATACATACCCTTCGGCAAATTGTACAGAAGACCGAAGAGTACAATCTGCCACTTTGCCTTGCGTATGTGGACTATGAAAAAGCCTTTGATTCCGTCGAAATTTGGGCGGTGCTACAGTCCCTTCAGCGGTGCCAAGTTAACTGACGGTATATCGAAGTAATGAAGTGTTTGTACAGTAGGGCTACGATGACTATCCGAGTACAGAACCGAAACGAGTACGAAACCTATCCAACTGCAGAGAAATGTGGGACAGGGTGACGTTATATCCCTCCCCGAAACTCTTCCCCGCTGCATTGGAAGAAGTTTTCAAGCTACTGGACTGGAAAGGATACGGTATTAACATCAATGGCGAGTACATCACTCACCTTAGATTTGCCGACGATATAGTCCTTATGGCAGAATCGCTGGAGGACCTAAACACTATGCTCAATGACCTCAATAGTGTCTCCCAGCGGATACGTCTTAAAATGGACATGGCCAAAACAAAAATCATGTGTAATGTCCATGTCACACCTATGCCGGTATTTGTTGGGAACACTAAGCTCGAAGTTTTTACGAATATATTTTTACCTGGGACAAATAGTCCGACTAGGTACACCCAACTTCGACCGATAGGTCTATCGACGGATTCAACTCGGCTGGGCAGCGTTCGGGAAATTACGACACATTTTCTCGTCAGGTATACCTTTAAAACTTGAAAACGAGATAGTACAACCAGTGCGTGTTGCCAGTGATGACATGGATCTGAAACGTGGTCCTTCACTGCTTGACTTATGAGGACGTTCAAGACCGCTCAACGAGCTATGCAGAGGGCTATGCTCAGGGTTTCTTTGCGTGATAAAACCCAGTGACCGACATAGGCCAACGGATTAATAAACTGAAGTGGCAATGGGCCGGTAATATAGTTCGAAGAACCAGCAATCGATGGGGAAAAAAGGTTCTTGAGTGGCAGCCTTGTACCGGTAGGCGAAGTATAGATGCAGTGACGACCTGGTAAGACATACAGGAGGTCAATGGATGCAGGTGGCTCAGTACCGTGCTTTGTGACATTCATTGGAGGAGGCTTATTTTCAGCAGTCTATTTGTGAAGGGCTGTAATGTAGATTAATGATGACATAGCAATGTATGGAAAAATTGGCATAATTAATGTAATATTTTTATCTATCCGCATATTTTATTCACTCTCCCTCCACCTTTCTGGGTGAGCTCCCCCCACCCTTTCCCGTACCCCAGTAAGCGTCCCGAAGCGCGGTTTTTTTCCATTTTTTAAAGAAAACCGTACACGATACATAAAAAGTGTGTGGATACAAAATAATCCTTGATAAATATGCTATCAATCTCTTATTATCTGTTATTAATATGTGGCGGGTGGAAGAAAAAGGGAAGATCTCCCTCCGGGCAATGTGTTCTGCCCGGGGAGCGGCCAACGCTCCGAGTGGTAGTTCGAAGCTATTCTATATATACTGCTTTAACTTCGGAACTTTCTTAATGCGATTTAGGTTTCGATGTGTTTCGCTTGTGGCACGACGACAGCGCCGCCACATCACCCCTGCTCAGACCGGAGGTTTATAGTACAGTCCGATTGCCGGTGCGTCCTTAATGCCGTGAGGAATGCATGCTGTGTGCGTAAGGGCAAGTGACGCCGCGGTGTAGCTTAATTCTAGTTGGCCTATACTATTCCTCATGAAGCTGACTATAATATACCAAAATTATTTTTCAAATCGGACTGGTAGTTTCAGAGATTAGCGTGTTTATACAAACAAAAAAAAATTATTTTCCGCTTTATTATAGTATTTATATTAGAATACATTGAACTTGTTTAGAATTAAAACCTTAAAGTTTTTTGTCATCATATACGATTCCATTATTTATTAGGTCAAACTTAAACTTACTATCAAATAATCCTTCAAATATTGTTGGAACACTACCCGGCTTCAGTGTTGTTCTATTGTAATGCTTATTAAAACATTTAGCATCAAAATGATTTGAACAAAGATGATCCTTTTCCTTTGGAGTCCAGTCAACAGCTTTCATGTTCTGAAGCCATACACTCCTGGCCCTTAAGTTGGCTGGAAATCTGCAGAAATAAAATTACCGATATGATCTCTTTGAATCACTAACAAATCCAAAACAAAACATACACACATATCAATTCAGCCAAAAATGTATAATGTACTTTTTAAGATAGTATTGCAATACAAATTTCTGATTACAATCTTATGCTTTACATATCAATTCACACCAATTCTGATTAAAAACAATAACTAAATGCACATACCTGTGAAATGTTGTTTTGCTACCTTTTTTGTAGGGACATTTGCAAAATACACATTTCCTCATATTTGGAATCTCAAACTTAGTTAAAGTGTTACTATGAATATTATGTGATGGATTCAGGTCAACTTATCTATTGAATTACCTAAAACAAAAGACAAATAATGTTGTTAGAACAATATTAATGCGTTAATATAATATGACAAACAAATTATAGTTAAATGTTGTTAGAGCTAATTAACCGGTTCAGTGCGAGTGACACGCCAGGCGTGTCTTTTTTAAAAATTGTTATAACTCCCTCAAATTGCTTTTTTGGAAAATTTATCCATAACAAAATACTCATTATTTTGCGAGTAGTTCATGCATGCAGCTTCGTTTCTGGATATTTTGAAAATTTGAAATTTTTAGGCGTTGGCATACTTTTTTTAACGTGTACATGGTACTATTTTTTCTTTGTGGATTTTAAATCATGTTATGGAAAAATTGTCTAATAAGTAACAAATAATAGCAACCATTGCGATCGCTCACAAACTCAAGGTGTAAATAAGTTTCTGTAAAAACAAGTCTCCTGTTAAAAAAAAATGCGTTTGTCTTATTGTTTAATTTTGCTTAAAATGGTTGAACTGCCCTCTTATTACTATCATATGGCCGAATAGACCTACGAAGTACCATGTGCTCTTGTGATATGGTATAAGGTTTATTTTTGCTTGAAACAGTTTGAAACCGTTCATGCATAAAAAAGTTCGCTAATAAATAGTCTTTTGTCAATCCGCCGCCGTATAGCGCCGGCGTTATTTTCCTTTTGAAAACACTTGTTTTGCTATTCTTACTAATTAGACGTTTTCAGATCGACTTTACTTTTACATTTGTATAAATTTAACATTAAATAATATTTAACATTTGTAAATATCAATGAATGATATACCTTTTTTTTTCAAATTAAGGTTCTTCATTGTTTGATATTTACAAATGTTATTATTAGGTGAAAATTTAATTTAATAAAAACCAAGGTTTCCAGGGTGATTTAGCTGTACCTACTTGTTTAGGCCAAAAAAGGTAATTTGTACGCCCTCCAATGGCGTTCGAGCTAGCGCCTCACCTGATTTGGTATGTAGGTGAGATAAACGCCGAGGTGTCGCTCGACGCGTGGGCAGTCTGTCGCTCGACGCGTGGGCAGAAAGTCAGTGCCCCGCCAGACACGATGCAGGGAGCCCGTGCGGCTCCCTTAGCGAAATTCAAGACCTGTCGTGGATCTAGATAGCTAGATGAAGTACGTGCTTCTTCGTCACGTAGATATGTGAATTGTGCGATATTTAACTCGGGCGAGAGTGCAGAATAGTGTACGCGCGTCTAGTAGATATACGGTCTAGGATTCGAGCCGCGCATTCCTGGGTTGAGAGCGTTGTGTTTTGGTTGCCTAGGTAGATTAATTTCCGTGTCAACAAGGCGTATTTTGACTCTGGCGCGACGTGTTATTCTGGTGTCGAATTTATAATTTGTGATAAGTGAATCCGGGACATTCAATGTCGAATTTTGTGCTACTGTCCTTGCCGTGTCGGATATCACGTGTTCGATTCTGTGATGAGTGTGGAATTAGGCGAATTGAAGTTAGTTAAATGTACAATGAAGCTGAGAGACTGAGTAGTGACAGTGAAGAAAGAAGTGGTCCGGCGCTGAAGCCTGCTGGAGCGATGTAGCATTTTGGGGCAGCCTAGAACTGGGCCGCTGCTGGTCGCCTAAGCTTTCTCAGGTCGCAGACATTTACACCTCACTATATACTACTCGCAATCCACTATTACACACACTCACGGCCTGCCCAAGCCTTGGGTGCGAAGTTAGCTTCGGATAATGGTAAGTACTATGTGTTTCTAGCTTTCTCCCATAGTTTATTTTGATAGAACATATTCCACGTGGCCATATTGAGGCCCGACCTACGTCTGTTCGTGAAGTCTCCGCTGATGGGCCCCGGATGATTGAATCTTTGGAGGAGCAGCCGTAGGCCGTAACATATAAATGATTTTTTTATAACAACAAAAAATAGTACAAAAGGTTTGTAATCTCTCCATAAAAAAGTCACTTTCTCTCAATTTCAAAGAAAACGCGTAAAAAACACGTAGTTACCCACTAAAAACAAGTATCCTTCCATTTGTAACTTATGTTTGATGTCAAATAAACTTAATTAGGTCTAAACAAGTAAAAAAAGCATAAAAAAGAACATTACTTTTACACATGGCGGATGGCACAATAGTAGCGCTTGACACGCCCGGCGTGTCATGAAATATTTGTTGCTAAAAGTTGTCGAAAATTGGTGCCGCAACGAATCGGTTAATTGCATTCTCACAATCGGCAGTACGTCAACAACCGTCTTTCTAAACACCAACTACTCCAGGAAAGATTTGCCACTCTAACTTTATAACTATTTTACTTTTATTAAACTTTTAACTTTGGTGATATTTTCCTTTTGGCGTACTCATTAACTAACTACAACTCTACTTCTTGAAAGTGTGTGGCCTTACAAACCATACATTAAGCCTCTTTAACGTCACCATCCTTATTAAAATATCCCATGATAACAGGGGGAGTTAGTGAAGAAACATGATTAACAAATTCATCTAAGATAGGCATGTAAGAAGGCATGTATACAGACAGAAAAGATATATTGAGAGCCTTGAAGAAATAGGTATAGTATACAATTTTTTTTGAAGTCAGAATGGAGGAACCAACATTCCATCGATCCTATCATCCCAAAGACATTAATAACCTGAGACCCTAAATTAGTAGTCAGGTCTAAGCTACATCTCTTTGATGGCAAAAACAAGTGGACTAAATTTATTAGTAAGGAAGATTAGTTCATTCTCTTTATGTTTAATACTCTGACGTTATTGAAGTAACTGAGTAGGTATATTTTTGTCATAAACTGAGAGGAAGTTCTGTTTCACTAAAATAGGAAATCATGTTAATTAACATTGATATCATAAGTTCACAGAAATTATCATTATAAGACTTTTTGTCATACCCTAGCAAAGTTCCATACCCATTAGGAAGGGAAGAAGTAGGATTCTCAACAATTGCCTGATGGGCTGCCTTATCATATCCAGAATTTAATGATTGGCTGTAGGTATGTTGAGGAATAAAAGTAGTTTTTTTTATATGATAAGTTTGTGAAGGCTAAGCCAAAGGGGTTAATAAAGAACTGTCAGTTATGGGATAAGAGGTCTGTTGAAAAAAAAATGAGGTGGGCTTCTTATTGATTCAGCAAAGAATCTTCTTACCTGAGAGATTCTGGCTGAAGCTTCTAAATAATATGAAATATTTTTTTTTAACATAACAAGCTTAAATATTTTGCCACAGACATTCAGGGCAAGTAGGGTCTTTTGCTGTGTGGGGACCTGAGCAGAATAGACAAGTGGGAGTTTGCTTAGTAAACCATCATGATTCTGTGCACATAACAAAGCAGCGAGGGGATGATCGGCACTGGGATATAACATGACCAAATCTTACGTCACTTATGACACTGAATAAGTGGCAAAACATGTTTTACTGTTTTTAAACTTCTATAATACCAGTAGTATTATAGAAGTGTAAAAACAGTAAAACAGGGTGGAAGTTTTTGTCCAGAATAAGTTAGAAATACTGTCTGCGTTGGAATCTATGAAACGCTATTGTTGTCACTCACTGTTTGTCTATTAAGACGGCAAGCTTTAATTATAGAATCAAAGCCAGAGGGAATTTCTATAGCTGCTATTAATTATTCTAGTGTCCATTCTATGTGAACTTGTCTGACTCGCCCCATACGAGTGATAATATATTATGAGGGGATAGTTGTTTCTTATTTATAACTATTTAGAGCTGAGTGATCAATAAAATTATTTGCATCCGCTGCTGTTTTATTCTCAACTGATATCCTGTTTTGTCCAACTTTTTTGACTCCATCACAAAGTATATTTTTAATATTTTGTGGATTGTATTGAATAGGTATTGAAGGAAACTGTTGGTTTCGATCAGTATTTTTTTTGTGGATGGACAGGACTGTTACTTACTTGGGCGCGTTTACGGTAAATTTTTTTTTATACATTGTCATTATCAATGGGTAAGGAAAAAGAATCTTCGCCAACCCTTACGGGATCGGGAGGTTCATCATCCAATATATTTCTACAACTAAAAATTACATAAAAATAGCACAACTAAAAACACTTACTTACACACTTAGCACTTTATTATAATACAATAAAATACAAACGACCAAACGAGAAAATTATGTGTATTTATATTAATCACAAACAATATGTATAGAAACAATAATAATCACAGAAGACTATTACTATAATAATAAATTTTATTTTTATACTACACTGGTACAGGGTTGCTAACTTTATTTTTTAGGAGATGATCGGAGATCACAGAATACTTTACTCCTAGCGGAGATCGGAGATCGTATGGCATAGACTTCGTGATTCGTGTATACGACAGTTACTATTCATTTAGTCTGTGGTTACTATACTCTTTGGAATAGACTTAATTTATACTGGTGGCCACTGATCTCTATATTATATGGACTGGCTATAACCGTGACCACCGTGACATAATAAGGCGATTTGATTTTCGCCATTTTGACGCTGACAGCAGAAGTGAACGTCCACGAAACTAATAATAGCACAAGAGAATGTGTCATATCTTGAGGCCTCTGCCCGTTTCCCAGCTGTCAGAAGACCTTATTCTGATGTTGCATCCTCACAAGTTCCTGCAAGCCATCTCCCCTCTACTCAGGCACCTAGAAACCTTCCTACTTTTCCATCTCCTTCCCAATCCTATAGGAAAACCATCTATAAAGCCAAATCTATCCCAGCGCAATCTTCAGTAGGTTATGATAAAGTTTCTCATTATAACATTACAAGTACTCCTTCCTCATCTCTCCCCAATGGACATGCTTTACAAAACAATGTAATATCCTCTAATGATAATCTTCTAGAAAATCTTGTGCCCTCCCTTACAGATATTGTTGGCAAATTTGATGATTCCCATTTACCGTTCAACGTGAAAAACAAACTAGATGCCTTCTTCTCCAGAATATATAAAGTTCGAGTTCCTAACCCTCCTCCAGTGGAATTGTCGGAGCATCGGGAATAAGAAACCTGATATAATTCACTTAATTAACTCTTATTATCCTTCAATACTTGCAATATCGGAAACCTGGCTTAAATCAGGGTCCACATTTAGAATCCCAGGCCTCTCCTGCTATCGTAGTGATAGGAGTTACGGCTATGGCGGTGCTCTGATTCTACTAAACAGGACCATTCCTTTCTCACCTATCCAGCTTAATCCTATACATTATGGACATCACAATTATATCCATTTACATTCCAGCTCCCACTCCTTCTTGTATTCCAGAACTCAATTTAATTTTATCAAGCATCTCCCTACTTTACATTGTTCTAGGAGACTTCAACAGTTATCATGTTATGTGGGGTTCCCATAAATCTGACTCTTTTTCTTATTTGCTACTTGATGTCTTCAATGAATTTAATCTTTGTCTTCTAAATGATGGTTCTCCCACCAGAATGTCCTACCCTTCGCAGAATATTAGATCCGCAGTAGACTTGTCATTGTGCTCTCCAATCTTGGCTGCTAGCATATCATGGAAAACTCTTCCTTCCTCTTTTGGTAGTGATCACTTTCCCATCCTCTTAAACCTAAGTAATAGATGTGTCCCTACTAGAAGTGTATCTCCTCTTTTCAAATTCAACCTGTCTGAAGCTGATTGGAATGTATTTTCCTCAGAATCAGAACTTCATATCAATAACCTTTGTAGTGTTATACTACTTACGTATCATTTTACATTATTTTAAATTCATTTTTCCATTCTGTTTCGATTTTCTGCATTCACCTCAAAACTGGATATTTTACATCACCTTTATTTCCATAGGATCCTGTAACGATTTTAAACCATAAGAACACAATAACAAATCATTTCTACTTCGTAGTTTCACATTATCAGCACTTTTAAATTGGTGTCAATGGAGTCTACCTTTTTTCGATCTTTTAGCTAATTTTCCGTAACTCTACAATCTTGGGCTTTGTGTGGGCAGTTGCGTTACCTTTTTTCCTATATCAATAATATCTCATTTTCCACTTAAATCTTACCGTTTTCTTATTATAAACCAAAAACAAAAATTTGACATGTTTTGTCTTTCTTATTTATATCGTTTCCATGGTAATTATATTCAAATTTGCTACCGATCTGTTATTCCTATTTCGATAATTCCACATAAATCCTCTTTTCTCTTGACCATTTACAAAAAATTTGCGTATAATTTAAATAATTTTTCCGTTCTCTCTAGAAAGGTATAAAAGCCGAACAATCGGTGAAGAAAGGCAGTCTCGCTTCAGTTCGCGAATTGGAAGTATCTCCTAAAGGCCTTATCCCGGGGCCGCACTGCCCCGGGATCCTGCAAGCCTCCATTTACACGTGAAGTCTTCGGCGAAGCCTTCTTCAAACTCGGGCCGCGCCACTCCGGAATCCTACAAGCCTCCATCTACCTCGGAAGTCGCTTCGAGTCTACTACAAGCGCGGGGGCCACACTACTCCGGGCACTACTACTACTTACTCCAGGCGCCGAGTGCACCTACCGCCGGCGCTACCTTTGGGCGCTGCAACTGCTGGCTCTAAGCGTTGCGCGCCCCTTCTCCAGGCGCTACGTGCGCCGGCTCCGGACGCTGCGTGTACTGGCTCCAGGCGCTGCGCGCCGTCACTGCTAAGAAACCTACTTCTACAAGCGCAAACGGCGTGTGCTGGCTTCAGGCGCTGCGTGCCGTCGCTGCTAAGAAACCTACCTCTGCAAACGCAACGTGTGTCGCTTCGACTTTTAGACCCCACTACAACACTATAGTCCCCTATTCTCTCACCTTTATTTTTTTATAATCTAATTGTATTCTCACTTCATTCATCATCATCCTCATTTCATTTTTTTTTATAAAATTGTAAATACCTTTTATAAATTTAAATATATTGTTTTCTGGCTCTACTTTTGTTGTTTTGTTGTACTTAGGTTAGGTTCTATTTTTTTTTTTTAATTGTCGCTTCACGACATTTGGCGCCCAACGTAAAAGTCCTCTTTCTCTCTTAATTCTTCACCTTTACTGCGCCTTGTCCATTCCCTTTTGATTTAATTGCTCTCCCTTTCGTTCTTAACTCATTATTCATCATTCATTTATTCATCCTTTTCATACCTTCCAAATTCTAAAACAACACTTCATCTAGTGTTTCAACCTATCTGGATTATATTTAGACCTACATTTCACACAACACTTACATTCATCACTTTAATATTTTTATTGTAGATAACCTTCCAAATTCTAATACAACACTTCATCTATTGTTTCAACTTATCTGAATTATATTTAGACCTACATTTCTCACAACACTTACATTCATCACTTTAATATTTTTATTGTAGATAACCTTCCAAATTCTAAAACAACACTTCATCTATTGTTTCAACTTATCTGGATTATATTTAGACCTACATTTCACACAACACTTACATTCATCACTTTAATATTTTTATTCTAGAACAAAATTTCATCTAGTTTTTCAACTTATCTAGATTATATTTAGACCTACATTTAACACCTTACTTACATCCATCACTTTAATATTTTTATTTTAGATAACTTAAAGAGGTATAATTTTTAATTAAATTTTTATTTCTTAAACTTAACTTTACACATAATTATAACAATGAAAAGGGTTATTAAGTACGAATTTCTTAACAAGGCCGAACTCGAATACGAAGTGAAGATTAGATGTGAGGAACCAGCTAATACTGTTTTACTTCTAAAAAAACAGGTTTTGCGTTTAGTTGCGAATTCTCACCCTGAAGATATTCTGACTTCTCCAATTCCGATTGAGGATGACTTGTCTCAAATTGATTCTACCTTGACCTACTTGGACTGTAAAATTAAAAAATTTTTACAAGGCGAAACCAAATACTTGCGACTAATAGAAACTTTTATTAATCATATCTTTTACAGATTGGAACGAATAGATACTGACTTATATCCAGACTTTAAAGCTATTTTCGATACTTTGAAGATGAAATATGACGATATTACTAAACAATTTGAATCCTTGACTCCAGCTCCAACTGAAAATGACCCTCCTGTTGACCCGACTGTCACGGTTGACCCGACTGTCACGGAACTCCCTCTTGTTTCTCAAAATTCTATTCAGGTCCATACCCCGTATCCTCCACCACCACCTCAATCTTTTTCTCCAACCAACGTCTTCAAAGATCTGAAAAGACACACCTTCAATGGTAAAAGCTGTCCAAGATCCTTTCTTCAAAAACTGGAAGAATACTGTATAGCTCGTGGCTTGTCCAAAGACTTGTTGATTTCACAAGCGTTTGAAATTTTCACTGACAATGCTCTTCATTGGTTCAGATTTAAATATAATCAGAATCCAAACTTAACGTGGAACGAACTTTCTTCGTTATTAATCAAAGACTTTGGTGGTTTTGATTATGATCACAAACTTTTAGAAGCGATTAGGAATCGAACTCAAGGTCGAGATGAACCTATTGTCATCTATATTTCCATCATGTCTGGAATGTTTTCTCGTCTTTCGAAGAAACTTTCTGAAACAGAACAATTGGAGATTATTTTAAGGAATATTCGCCCATGTTATTCAGTCTTCGTAGCTCTAAAAGACATTGACTCTATCGACTCTCTACTGGCTACTTGCCAAAACTATGAAAAATTTCTAGACAGAGACAAACAATTTAAAGAACCAAATGTACAACAAAGTCTTCTTATTTCTGAATTCAACTACAAGCATTCCACTTCAAGTTCAGTTGACTCTCCAAATTCTTCTAATAACTCACGACCCTCTCCTCCCCTCATGAATAAATTCACTCCATCCTACAAATACCCTTCTAGACAAGTTAATAGTCTCTCTCAAACTAAAGCTCCTCAACAAACCTCCTTTTGTGTTCGCTGTCGTAAACAAGGACATTCTTTGAACACTTGTACTCAACCACGATTCGTGATTTGTTTCAAATGTGGTCTTAAGGGTTTTAAAACTGCAGATTGCCCTACTTGTTCTCCCAAACCTAATACTAGTTCAAAAAACTAACTACTGACTTGAAAAGTAACTTAAACTTTGATAACGACGATTGGACTAATTGGATTAAAACAATTCAAAACTTCTTTTCTTGTTACAGAATCTCTTCTACACTCTACTCCAAGGAACAAGATCTTAATCGTCCATTCGTTAATGTCAAAATTTATAACTTAACTTTATCTGGTTTACTAGATTCTGGCAGTTCAGTAACTATTCTGGGTAATAATTCT